CCCCCCCCCCCCCCCCCACGCGTCATCTTTCCCGTCGTTGTTGTTGTCATCATCAGGGGGGCCCGAACCCAACCAATCTAGCTTTTTTGTATCCTTCGGCCCCGTTATGCTCGCGTCGTGCCTGAAAGCAATGCCGCAGGGCGCCCATTGAGGTATGTAGTTGGGGTACTGTCCGAACGTAGCGGTCGCCTTCCCTAGCCTCTCTGTGACGATTTTCGCGGCGCGGACGACGGATCGTCGATGATCGAAAGAGCGATGCATTGCCGCAATAAGTGTGGGTTTTGCCACAAGGTCCGCGAAGTAAAAAGCCTCGTAGTGGTTGCGCGGATCATCTCCCACCATGCGCATTATCCACATGCACGCCGCCAACAACAGCCTGAAGCAATCAACCACCCGAGAAAGACGAGCGTGCGAGATGAACTCGCCGTTGATGAGCGCCCCCATTTGCACGACCGCGCGGAATGCATACACGACGCGGATGACGGTGGACTCCTAGTGCACCGCCATGTCGTCGTCCTCTGGTCTGTCCTCGATGTTGGCGCCGCCGAACCAAAGCAGTAGATCCATGGACAGATCTATCGTGTGCGCGCAAATCGTCGGACTGACAACCTCTCACCACTCTTCGCCGTACCACATGGCACGCGCAATGTCCATCGCAAAGGATTCCAGCGAGTACTAGAAAGCCACACGGTATCCCCTTGGCCGATTTCCGGACTTGAATACCCATCCGTGCAAGATGCGCAGAGCAACGTTCTGCACTGCCGCCGCACGGGAGATCGCTTGTTGCAGCTGTGATTGGTCGACGAACCTGGCCACGCGCGTGCTGGCTTTGGGCAGAACGACGCTCCGAGAGACGTCAGGCGTTGGAAGTCTGCTGGCGATGGTGACGAAGTAGTCTTTCGTTTCGTGGACGATGTTCTATAGTCTTCGGCCCTCCCTCGTCGTCCAGAAAGCTTTGTCATCGACCCGAAGAACGGCACAATCAATGAGGTCTTTTGTCATGATACTCCTTCGTGGGCAGCTTGAACCGGCCTCGCCTGCCTCCCGCTCGACTTTCCTCTCGCCACGCGCCTCCTCTCTCGCCGTCGCCACAACTACTGCCTCCTGCCTCCCAGTCGCTATGGCGACCACATTGCCTGAACCGCCCGCCCCCACAACACCTGCCACCTGGGCGCCAACTGTGCGCTCGTCTGCCACGACTTCCCCCCCGCCACCACGTTGGATGGACCCTCCATCACCAGCGTCGTTGCGCTGACGTGGCTGAGACGGCGTGGCGGACAGCCTGCCCGAGACTGGCCTTTCGTTTGTAGCAACCCGCATGACCACCTCCGGCGGTGGGGTCGCCGTCGTACGAATGCGAATGCGGCGTCTCTCCAAGGGCTCGTCATCATCGCCACCACGATCGACGACGGGAGCCTTCTCTGTCCACGTTTCACGGGCACGCAGTTGCTGCGCCTCGTGTAGAGGGGTCTGCATCCTCTTCGAAGCGGTGCGATCAGAAGAGCGCTACCGATCACTCTCGCGTACTTCAGACGTTGTCGCCTCCGCCTGTTCCTCCTCCGCCGTGAACTCATCGTCACAGTCCCCTTCCGCTTCCTCAGCCCAACCTTGGGCTCCACGACCACGCACCCTTGGCAACGCATCTTCTGTACGCACCCTCTTCGCTTTCGGGGCCTGCCGCCGCCCTCTTCCCTGCCCTTGGCTATCGTCGACGACCACGTCGCGCTTCTTCCCACGGGTGTTCCCTCACGTAGACATGTTTCGTGGCGACCTTTGCAGGCGAGCTTGGCAGTGTGATCGGACGAGCGGAAAGTGTGGCCGACCTGGCGAAAAATATGTCTCTCGTGAAAAAGGTCTCCCGTGCGGCTGTGGCATGACGACAACGACGTACACGTGGCAGACAGGTGATCTGTCCTCTGCGGGAAGAAGATGTGACGATGACGGACATCCACGGGACGAAGACGACGATGTGCACGTGGCACACCGGAGATTTGTCCTCCGCAGGAAGAAGACGTGACGACGACGAACACCCCCCCGACGCAGGAGATCAGTCCTCCGCGGGAAGAAGACGATGACGTGTGCGTGGTTCACAGAAGGACGAAGACCACGGCAAGAGTAATCCGTGTTGAGAAGACTGGCGGCGAGAAGAATACAAGAGCGACGATCACAATGATCTGCGGCGACCAGGCTTGCAGCACCTCGTCGTTGTTGTGGGCGGTTTGCACCAGGTGAGGCGGGCTTCTGTACTGGAGACACCTTCGCGGCGTGGATGACATACAGACGGGTTGGGATGCGCAAGACTTAAGTAGTCTTTCGGAGATGGACCTCCCGCGACGTCGTTTCTTTCTGGCGGGAAATGACATCGTCGACGGTGGCACGTGCGACCGCCCTGCCCACACTGCCGTGTGTTTTCCATCCTCCCCGAAGGCGCGAAAAGACCCTTCGACGTCCCTGGCGACGCGCGTCAATTCAGTCGCCAGGGACCGAACCCCTGCCTGTCCCATCGCGTCCCCCACGTCGCAGCCACCAAACACCCCCGCACCCCAAGCCC